CTGTTCTTGTTTCCATGGTTTCTGTACGCAAGCTGTTTGAGCACAAGGAAACTTCATAGACTTTAATGTTTATATAACACATAAAAACGTACAGAAATGGTTCCTGTTCTTTCATCTATGCATGTGTGTAGTCCATCTGATTTTGTTGCCATAACGTATACGCCCACAAATCCACGACCACAGGCGACAATCATTATGTAGGATGCACTGATCATCGGGTGTTTGTAGGCGTACCTTTGTACCTAAGCCTACTCGTATTTTTCACGTATGGATGTTCTCAGGTTCAAGAATCCGGAGTAAGCGCCAAAATGGATCATGTGAATAGTATAACGCCCAACTTCGTAACTCACCACACTTGGTTTCACCTTTGAATTGTTGATAGGATAGATCAGGTGCAATGAACCGACATGTATCCTTACTAGTATCATTTTTGTAGTTAAACCTTGACTGAATTTCATTTTTGTAGTTAAACCTTGACTGAATTTTTTTTTAAAATTCTGATCCATTGTATGTGTTCACTTCCAACATTGTATTGTTGAGCATAAACTTATATCGTCTTGACTGCTAAGGCTAAGGCCTGGTCGTATCATGAAACATCGTGTAATCGGCCTACAATAGCAAGTTGGAGGAATGCTTGCAGGAGTCATGCATATATCTATTGCAAAAAAAATGTCTTAGATTCTTGTGAGCCGTTGCTTCAATTGGAAAATTGTATGACGTGAAACTCGTACGACAGAATACGGCGAATGTATCTGCGCCATAAATATAATGAATCATCACTCAATCTTTATGCCCCCCCCCACCCCGGGCCAAAAAAGAACAACTTTACTCCATCCACGGGCAAACCAGAGACGGTTGACGCGATGGAACTGACATCTTAACTCTCCCATGTCTCTGTGCATATGTCCGGGCGGATGAAGTACGGATCAAGCCGGTAAGCAAAAGTGGCCTGTTTAAAAAGACTCCTAATGGAATCGTCCGTCAACTGACGACCGAGGGTTTGCTTTTTGTGACCAAGGTCATCCTTTTGTACCGTACAGCTATTTCCGGCCTCCCTCCGCCTATGGTCTCTGACGTCTGCGGTTTGGAAGCAGATTCTGCAGACTGACAGGTCCGATAGACAGGAGATGATTTCTACTTCCGCACAAATTGAAGCAATTTCAAGTCCTGCACGTATCATCCAACTCGTCTAAAGTAGCCATGGAATCAAAAGCTAGTAGTTTCAGAATGAGTCATGGCTCTGTTCTTATCAGATGAGAGATACTGTCAAGTCAATATTTCAACGTTTCATGCCTTGTCAAACTGTTGATAAAGCACAGAAGAAGGAAAAACATATTTTCACCGATGTTGCCAAATAAGGGCAAGTGCCAGACATTGCATGTATTCCACTGAACCTGTCTACAACTGTTTAAACATTAAATATTAACATGATACTTTTGAGTCTTCAAAACAGGGTAGTGTAGATGCACATGTACAAGATAGGACATAGTTTATACTAGAAAAGCTCTCATTGAAAGAGTTTCAGAATGCAAGGAAAATAACAAAAAGACCAGAAATCAAAAGTAAGTTAATAGAGCTGAATGAATTCTATAATGAATGAAATATTGCCGCATATCAAACAAATGATATAGCAAAAACATTCCCTAACATTTCCACAGTTTCCATGTTAGCACATTTGCATAAATCTATAGGATTAAGATGTTCCCAATTCTCCTGACTTTGAAGTGTTGACCATTAAGCTTCTAAATCTAGGGGCCTGACGAGTGGAATTTGAAGGGCCTATGGCTAATGATGGGTATGGATATCAAAGCTGCTTTAAATTTGAGCGAATCACATCTGCATTAATACATACACACATATAACTATTTCAAGATGCTTCAAGTATTAGTATAACTATTTCAAAGTTCCTAAACTTGGTCATG